GGCCCTAGAGATTCGCTACAGAATTATTCTCAGCAGGGCAATTATAGGTGAGGCTGCCCTGTAATGAGATATCTTTTCTACTTCATTAAATGAACCCCCTTGAATTGGCTCCAAAATGGACCTGCCTCATACCAAATTCCATTACACTGGAAGTAATCTTATAAGATGGCCCTAGCGCGGGTTCAATAGTCCTGGATACCTAATGTTTACCATAAAGGGAATGTGTTCTAGAACAATGATTCTGAAAAGCTGTTTCTCAGATGTATTTTAATGATTCACGGGGAAATAAACATTAAAGACAGCTTAGTCAGCTTTCTATAAAATTAAAATATAACATATTTTAAAAACAACCTTTATTATGAAAGTATAACCTATTTTCTTTTCCCTCCTACTTTTTGGTGTTAAACTGCTCCATTTATCTTATGAAATAATGATGGTAGATAGTAAGTTTTATAATCTTTTTGCACAAAATAAATGCAGCGTCAACCCACTTCCTTTAATTCACATTTTTAAAGAAGAAATTTTTAGTTTCTTGAAATCCAAAAATTCTGAAATTGAAAAATTCTGCTATTTAAATGACTGCTGAAAAGGAAATTCTTTCCTATGGAATTGACATGGCTCATAGAAAAGTCTTGGAAGCCAAATTATAAAATGTTTACTGAAGGGTAAGTATGTTAATCAGCTTATTGTCACTATTACACAGTATTTGAGATAATGAGTTTATGAAGAGAAAACATTTTGGCTTGCAATTTTAGAGGTTCTAAACCAAGATGCCTGGCCCCATTGTTATGGGTCTATGGATGGAGAGCATATTATGATGGGTGTGTAGGGTGTAGGGACTTATTTTATACCATGAAACGCGGCACAGAAGAGGACAAATGGGTGGGGAATCCCACAATCCCCTTCAAGATACGGTCCAGTGACCTAAACACCTCCCACTAGATTTCATCTCTCAAATTCTCTAGCATCTCCCAAAAGCACCAACCAAGGGACCAAGGGCCTTTAGGAGATATTCAAGATCCAAAACACAGCTGTAAATTCGTTCAGTATAGGGTATCACAGAGCAGAGAGATTTTCAAATTGCAATGTACACATACACCATCTGGGATCTGTTGAAATGTAGATTCTAATTCTAAGGAGCAGGAATGGTCTGAATTGCTGTATTTTCAACCAAGTTGTAATGGTTAAGCTGGTAGTTCTGACACTAGATCACCTGCATTCAGATCCAGGCTCTAATATTTCTAGCAGTGGGCCCATGAGTAAGTTATATTACTTGTCTATCCTTTAGCTTTCTCATTAGTAACAAAATAATAATAGTAGGCTGGTTGTGACAATAAAAGCAAATAATGAATATAAATATTCTCAGAATGCAAAACGTAATACCTGACACATAGAAAGGGCTTTATAGTATGAATTATTACTTTAACTTTACAGATCAGTGACTACAGCACCAAGATATTAAAAAAGATTAGCACCTCAAGGAATTCATTCAGGTGTAATGAAATAAGATTTGAAAGTTCCAGTTGGTAAGGGCTAAGCCATGTTCTGTTTTGACTGCTTGAATAGAATTGTTTGAAGCTGTGATTCTTGAAGGGCGCTCATAGACCTGTTCTAATTCAAAAAGTAGAAGATTTTAATTACTAAACTCCCATGCCTAAAGTTGAAATATTGGTATTGGTTTAGGTTGTAGGGCACAAACTAAGAACATTTGATAATTTATTTTCCTAAAGTAACAAGAAATGTCTGATTACTACATTGCTGGCACTTTAAATTTTCTTAGAAGTCTTTACAATTATTATTTTTCTATCGGTGAAAGTGTAGCTAGAATATTTATTAATTAATCTCTACTTGCTTTTTATGGAGCAACAGTGTAATGAATAGTAGTGTATACTGCCTAATATTCAAATATAAGCCAAATCTTATATTTTTCCTTATAGAACTCCTATTATTTTTGTAGCGAGTGACTTTGTGTGGTCATCTTTAAAAATTTAAAAGGAAATAGCAGCTAGGCATAAAATTATGTGGGTTTGTGTTTTTATCTTCAGCTTATACCTTTTTTTCTTAATGATTTGACTTCTAGTATGAATACAAACACAGAGCAAATAATGACTGATTAGAATAAAGTCTGAGGACAATTGATCTGTTGGTTATAGAGCTGAGGGCTATGAATAACTGGCTCAGCTTTATATGGTAAAAGTAAGTTATCTCATGTAGCACATTTAAATGAATGCTAGCTATTTCCTGAAATCTTGAAAGATGAACGTTGACTGATTTTTGAAAGTTAGCTGTCTTCTAAATAATTGCATGCCATTTTATTTTAATCATTACAAAATGTTATTATAAATTTGCCTATCTAGTGACTCTTGAAAACAAGAGGCTCTTGAACATTTTGTCAAGAGCAGAAAGAAACTAATACATAAACAAAATATTCCTAAAGGGTTTATTACATGCATTAGAAATTACCATGTCAATTAATAAATATTTACATATCTCCAGAGATTTTTCCTGGTTCCTATTTTTCTATTTAAATTTTCTAGGCTTACCTTAACTCCATCTAGTCTTGTTTGTATTCCTAAAGCTGACTGTGTCTCACCCATTTAGCAAGTATTTTATATACTGCCCAGTTCCTCCCAAATAACAAGTGCTCCATGGGAGAGATGTTAGTTATTCTTCAATGCACATTCTCCCCTTCCTCCTCAGATGTAGAACCTCTGAATGTTAGGGCTGTCTGGAAGACCATGTTTCTTAACGTCCCTCACAGGTATATGTGGCCACATGTCTAATTCTTGGCAATTGGAAAACATGGAAATGGTGGATACTACTTCTATGAAGTATGTTTTGTTAATCTGCTACCCTGATAAGAATACTGTACCAACCTTTGACTACCTACACTTATGAGAAAGAGACATAAATTTCTAGATTCTTTTAGAATTACATTTTGGATTTTATGTCTGTCGTTTGCAGATAAATCTAATACTAATTTATATGCACTTAAATATTTGATGGTGCATCTATCTTTTAGAGGAGCTCGTTATCATTATGCCTTGCTCTCTCTCATCCTTCTTTACTCAAAGCTATGCTAGACCATGAGGAAAAGAGGCAGCCACATTAAATAATACCCAAGAACAACGAAAAAGTATAAATTCAGGACAAGAAGAGTTAAGAAGCTACAATTCTTTTCTATTCCCAGTAGCTTTGGTTCATTAAGAAACATTCTAGGTAAGATTTCAAAGTTAACTCCCAAGATAATTAGACAAAAGCTAGGCCAGATGTCTAAGCTAAGTTTTGGTCTCAAAATAATTACCTTTGTTAATTACCAGTAATTACTGTCAGCAACCAAAACTTTCCTAAAAACCCAGGGAGAGAGATGAAGGAGGGAAAGAGAAAAGAAAAGCGAAGAGAAAAGAGAAGAGAGGAAAGAGGAGAGAGGGGATGCACTAGGTTTTGTGGAAAACTGAATTTTCTTTTTCAGTTAATGCAAATATCTTTTGCTTCTACCAAACCTGAATTTGGAGATTTTATAACATCATTTCTTATTTATTTGTTTTTTCTTTTCTCAATGCCAAAATGATGATTTTTCTCAAATCATACTTTTAACTTTCTTTTATTGACCAAAAGAATCAGCCAAAAATGGCTCTGGCAGAAATTTATGAATGTGTGGGCTTCACCATGCTCTCTCTCCTTAGCATCATTTCTTCAGCCAGAGGCTGCTGGACTCTAACTCACAGGAGGGTAGAGAGATTTTTCAGAGGCTGGTGATTTCTCAGCACTTATTCGAACATTCAGAAGTTTACCTAATGACTTACATTTCTCTTATGTGTGCATATGACATTTTAGGAGAATAGAAATATTTATAGATGTATATATTTGTGTGCCATTTCTTCACTTCGTATGTATTCAGGCATCCTTTTCTGTGCTTGGTTTCTATTTAAATATTTAGGGGTGGCATTATCTGGTATTTTTCATTAACAATTCATCATAGATTTAGTCATTTTAACCTGCAAATTACAATGGAAAAAATACTTTGTAAACATCCACTAAGCATCTCACACTGACTCCTGCCCTCCCTCAGACCCCCATGGTGAATCTATCCCTTCTTTATAGCATCTTTATTTAAATGTTTGCTGGCTTGAGGCCTTCACCACACTGTTAAAGGAAAGGAGCCAGGCCTCAACTTGTTTTCTTTCTTTCTTTTTTTTAATATCTCCAATGCCTAGTAGGCGAATTGCATTTTTTAAACTAATAAAATACACAGTTACCAATATTTCCAGGCACTGGGACTTGGAATTACACATCTTAGGTCTTTATGTAAGTTCAGTAAGTGAGGAAATGGAATATATTTTTTTTTGTCATGACTTATTTTGTGTGTAAGTGGTGATTCTAAGATGATTTTACTCCACAGGCTATTCTCATAGATACTGTTGACAAACTGTAGATAGAAAAATAATTGTTCATAAGGCTCACTAGAATGGAAAGTGAAGTTTTTCAATAAAGTAAAGTGATGTCATTTTATTTTAATAACTATCATGTATAAAGGATCAGCCCACACTAAAAATGTGAGGAAGGATGTTCACTCAAGAAGATGACATATGAAAAGGGAACAATTCATATACTCATTCAGTACTTATTTCTAGAGCACCTATAGTATACTTAACAACTTAGTACTAAAACTTTATGGCTTTATATACAAGTGTACCACCAAATTACAAACCCAACTGTATTTTTATATATGTTTCCATTCTCTACTGGGTTTATTAACAAAGAAAAAGCAAGAGGTATACTTTTAGGGTTCTTTCTAGATGTCAAGTGCACACAAAGGTATTAATTTGCAGATATATCTTATTTGCTTTATGGACATTGGGTACTGTATAATTTTGATATTAAATATTTTCACCCCATGATCACTGTTCATTACAGTACAATCAGTACTGCTCAACAACATTGAAACTTTCCATTTCATAGCTACTTGTCACCAATCTATATTTTCTTTAATCCCATACCTCAAGTGCTGTTCTGAACTGTCCGGCTGCCACGGTATATTTCTTTTGTCTATAACAAGTGCTGGCATCCTTTAAGGCTACCTGAAGCCATTTGTCAATCTGAGGCAGAGAGCTGAAATTGGGTCCGCTCAAAGGGTCCACTATTTCAGCGGCTGGGCAGGTTGGCTGAATCCCAGTGGCCATGAAGGGCTCTACAAACTCATACCTTACGTCCTCTTCATCAATGTAGACCAATTTCATTTCCACATCCATTACATTCTTTAGAGGAATCTGAGGCAGAGGCATGGAGACTAGCTGATTGTCAAGTTCTATTGTCTTTGCCTCCTTCTTTGCAGCTGGCTTCTCTTCACCTTCTGCCTTCCGTTTAAAGGCCACTTTCTCTAAATCACTGTTTTGTTTTTCTTTAGTGTTCTTTGCCATTTTTATCCTTTCAATTGTGATTTCTACTTGTTTATCTCCACAGTTTTTCTTAATCTCTGGTGGCACGTTCAGGCTGGTAGGTGAGTTTGTTAAGGTGGACATTTTCTTGCTTGTTTTTACCTTTGGAACAAGCTGATCATGACAGACTCTCTTCACTGTATTCTCCACATTTTTATTGCTTCCAGACTCCATTGACCTCACCCAAAGCTCCTGCAGTGATGAGAAGAGGGAAAGTGATTAAAGCAATACTTTGAAATTCTAACGGTTTATTCTAAAGTCAATTTCACTTGAAATGCTGTTTTTTTTTTCATAATAGGTATTTATCACCTTGAAATAAAACTGTATTTATATGAACTGCTGACTGTTTTATTGGGACAATATATGCTTTAACCTCAAAACTCACCAAGATAAAAACATGTTCAAAACATGTCTAGACACTGTTTTAAAAAATAATCTACAGCTGCACAACATTGAATGAATATTTTTATGTGATGTCCAAAGTCACTGAACAGGAAAATCTTATACATAGCCATGGAGGATGTGAGAGAGAGAGAGAGAGAGAGAGAGAGAGAGAGAGAGAGAGAGAGGGAGCGCTACGCTCCAAAATCCATCTCTATAATAATTTCCTTAGAAAGGCAGGTGGTCTAGAACTCATTATAAACTACACTGCTAACCTGCATAATAGACTTGGAAGCCTAAAGTAACCACTGATGCTTCCCGCAAAAGCTTCCAGAAAAGTGAACACATGTTTCCTTGATTTGTTTCTTCTGTTAATAATGAAAACCTCAAGTTTAAATAGCGTTAAAGATAACTGTTTTTCAGAACAGACTTTAAAGCAGAAGAACACGACCCTCATCCCTCTCTGCGAGATGGTGATACATGGTCACCTTGAGTTTTTGTGTTGATATTTTTGTAGCAATTGTTACAAATAATACCAGGTATTGGAACAATAATACCATGTATTATATGAAGATGAGGCATTTCCCTAAAGTATTAATGCTCCATGTATATACACCTTTTGATTCAAAGGGTTCTACATCCTTACTCTGTAGATTTGTTTCAAAATACAAAATATGCTGAAATCTAATAATTATTTAGGATAGTAGTTTTCTTTTTTAAAAAAGAAAGTCTCATACCTTTCATATTCTGCCTGGGAAACAATTTTGAATAGAATAAATAAACTCAATATTTTGCACAGAAACTAAGGGATAGAGAAGTAGAACTGGTTAATCACAGTCACATTATTGGTGAATGGCAAACGTGACCCATTCAGATTGCTGTTTTGTCACTAGTACTACTCCTCAGACCCTAGTCAGAGGTAGTGCCTTTATAGCATCTTGTTTTTCAGGATGGATAAGCGTAGCTTTATATCAGACCACAAAGAAACAGAAAATATTAAGAAAAAGCAAAGTATAACTATAAAAGAACAATGAGGTAAGAGCTAACAGTTGTGTTTTGTTTTATTTACAAAGATAACCTTAGAGTTGATTCTTATACTTTATTCTTTTGTTATTATTGCTGATTATTTTCATTTGTTTGCTTGAAATATAGAAGTGTGCCCATGGAAAATAGTTAAAATGCATTAAGCTGTAACCCAGTAGATCTTTAAGGAAAGAAAAGACTTTACCAATGGGTCTAATCTTTGAAGCACTTTCTCCCTCCCAACCATTGTCCGTATGCATCCTAGAAAGAGGTTATATCCTAGAAAGAGGTTGAATGTATATATCAAAGAAACCACTGTAAGAGTTCATAGAAACATCAGATTCTAATAATTCCAACAACAGCTATCTAGATATTAATTTGCCAAAGTTATATACTAGAATAATTATTTCTGCAATGATTGATATAGAAATAATAGAATTGTATTTCTATGGGGTAATAACACCAAAACATGAAATTTTTCAGTCTATATGGTGCTCATCCATATAGCTGTGAATCATAGGCTCCAACAATACAATTTTACTTTGAGCAAGGATCTGTCTCCTTTTCCCCTCTTGGAATCATTGCTGGCATCCAATATATATTTTGGACCACTAATATGGCCACCTAGGGATGCGATGGGCAACTGACTTGACCATCACTCTTCTCTTGTGTATGTTCTTTACCTGTACGATTTGGATTTAATAAATATGAGCTCCAGTTCTTCATTTCAGATCTGAATATTCACCTATTCCTGTAAGTTTCCTTCAGGACCAGAAAGGCAGTTTTTGAAATTTGTTTAAAGCTCAAAACTTATCTGGTTTTCAGGATTTCTGGTTTAGGGTCATTCTCACAACAGATTAAGAAAATATGAACAGTAAATGCTGGTGGGTGGATGGTTCTAAAAATTTCATGGTATCTCTGTTATCTTATCTCAACTCTATTTCAAACACTAGAGGTTACAAAGTATCAGAATATCCTTAATCTGCTGTGGTTAGTAGCTTTTAGCATCTGTAGCAGGATTACTCATCTGTGCTGCATTTATTCCATGCCTTTAATGCTCGAATGTATACTTATTTTTGTAGCTGTTTCTTCAAGAGGTTGATTTTTCTCTCTTTCCCACTCTCTCTTCCTTCCTCTGTCCATTTTGTCTGCAAGCTCTCTGTCCACCCCAAATCTCCTCCCAGTTGTCCCGCTCCCTTCGGCTTCCTCTCCATGCAAGAACGAAGATTTTCTTGTTTTAAGGAGCAGGCTTCTAAGTACAGTATTTCTGCATTAGTCCTAAAACCTTTCTGTAGAAGTCCTCATTTTGATCTTCAGTGCAAATTCATACAAGAAACAACAACAGAAGGGGAAAAAGTAAACAATACAAATAGAGCATTTGGAGGGACTAAATATGTAAGTAAATGCTTAGCTTTCAAATACTTAAAGTTCAATTATCCAAAATTAATCCAAAAATAATCATTTAATTCCTCCCTTCCCCAGTCAAGTATACCTGTCAGAAAGTCTGCAAGTGTCCTAAATGGACAGCTTGAAAAAGCATGGCCAAAAACCACGAATATTTCTGAGTTAGTTGCCAATTGGATGACTTTAATTTCAGATTTCATGTATGTTCTCTATAAAAAATATCGTACATCGGAAGTGTTGGGGAATCGCTCACTTATGGCTTTTTCAAACATTTTAAAACTTCACTTAAATAATCTGAAATTTAAGTCCTTTCATCAGTGTATGTCTCCCTTCCTTAGCACTCCTGTAAAGTAACTCCGAGTTAAATTGCACTCCTTGTCAATTCCCAGACATCCTCATTTTTACCGTATCTATTAAGGATTTCCCATCATTCCATTCTCATCTCATTCTACTTGTTCAAATCTAAAGAGAAGTTTTCCATCTCACCACCTCAGAATACTGAGAGCATTTATTTTTCATTTCACAGTTATGTCCAGATGAGTTTTTTTCCAATAATCTCTCTAACATCAGAAATGTGCTTTACTTTACCAAATATTAGCTCAGCGTTTTGTGTAGAACAAGCACTCAATAGACATTGATCTATATGAATGCTGTTCGTCAAAGACTAATTTCCACATTTTAAGAGAAACAAAGTTGGATTTTTTTTTTTCTACCTCTGTGGCCAAAGTGTTGAAAAAGTTGTTTCTGAGAGGTTTTGCTGGATTTTTGTTTTGTTTTAAATTTGATTCTAGGTAAAGTACATTGTTTTTGTTAGTTCAGTTGAATCACATGTTAACTACATTTAAACTATCAGCATCTTCACTCTTTGTAGTAGTCCTGTTGATTAACCTGTTGTCACGCAGTATTCCTAAGGCACTGAGCTAGACTAATCATTACTTCAATAAAAATACTTCTGGAGAAAACTATTGGACAGTCATTATGTATGTCAAAGAGGTATTTGCTGATGATGTTCTGTAAAAATGCCCATTCTTTAATTTAGAGGAGAGCACTGTAGAATTGATTTCCTCTCAGAGACCTCTCAGGCCTTTAAAAAATCTCCAGCAAATATTGATATGAAACAGAACAATCTCCAAGGCTTTGTAATAAATACAGAAACAAGAAACAAAGAGAGGTTAATGTTCAATTGTTTCCAGCAAGTAACCATTTTAAACTTAATTCAGTGGATTTTAAATACAAATATATACATTTTTCTTCCAGCATCTCATCAAGCTTCCTATTCTGTGGGAGCTTCTGTTGCTTCTGCAACTCAATTGGTAGTTTACATGGCTGTTAGTGACACAAATTATTTTTTAGATTTTCACTTGAAACAGGCAGTTCAAACATGGGCAATTCAGGAAAAGGAAATTCTTAAAAATGTGCTCTCTGAAACATTCAACATCACAGTTGCTATGGTTTTCTTTCTTAAAAAAAAAAAAATCTAATTTTAACTTGCTGTTAAATGTAACCAGAGACACATTATGGGGAAAAATACTTTCCTTGTTAGTCTACCAGTACACCTTTTAAAAACACATTGAAAAATCTTTCTTCTATGTAATAAACACTCATTGTGCACCTAAAGTGAGAGCGAGGTGCTGCACTAAGTAATGTGAGAGGAATTAAAGATAAGCAAGACAGGGTCTGGGCAGTGCAGTGCTCCCTGCTGGGGTTGAGGGTGGAGGGGGGCGAGGGTGATGCACAGATAAATAACTTTACACAGGGCAGATGCTGTTTCACTAGGCTGAACCGGTGGAGAGGTGGAAGGTATTCAGTTTCCGGTTCTGTACTGATGGATAGTGTCTTCAGAGCCGGCCCTCGATGCACATTTGCTACTAGAATGAATGTGTAGCTAAGGTGCTGTGTACTACTTGTAGCACTGTAGTAGCAGTAATGGACAGGTTTCTGTAGAAACATGGGATTGATGCAGTTTCAGATACTTAGGATGGACACTTAAAAAAGGTAGAATAATGGTTTTTATGTGAGCAATTTCTTTTTTTCTTTTATCCAAGTACCCATAAGAAATGGTACACCATTACAAGAAGGGAAAGGTAAATTTGACTTACAGTGCATGTTAAGAAGCTTTTAAAAATACCATAGAGTATTATATACAAAATATAATAATAAATACTGCCAGTTTAGAAAGTTGCCTCACTAGATTAACATATTTGTTTCTTACAACTTTTACATAACTATTATTAGGCTTATTTTATAATGAATAAAGCAAGACTTTGAGGGCTTGAAAGAGATCACCAAGAGAACTTATCAGACCTGAGACTTGAATATGCAACATTTGAGTCAAATTTCATGACTTTTGAAAAATTCTTTTAAATTTTGTCTTTTTAATAAATTATTTTGACTTTTAAATACATTCTTCTTCACTGCACCTCAAGTTGATTGCAATTTGTACTCTCCTTAATGTAAAAATTGTTCTTTACACATTTTATAATCAAGTATTTATCTTAACTGCTATTATACCAGGTGAGATTACTAAATTGAACATATGAACCAAATTTGTTGAGAAAGCCCTAGTACCTTTTAACTGTTTTTAAAGATCTTTAGTTGCAAGTATAGTTATGCTACTGTTATATTCTACTAGTCATTAAATTCAGAAAAAAATGATATGGGCATAAAGCTTCCACATGAATGGGTTCCAAGGACTTCTAACTTAAACTTGTCAAACCATTTGCTGATCACTAAATCACCAAATGGGAGTAATGACATTAAAGCAACTGTACTTCTTTGTACCCACTACGCTGCGAACATTTCTTACATTATGTCAGAGAGAACATTATAAGGGCTACTTTATCATAGTATTATGTAATGGAAAGAGCATTCATTTTGAAGTTGCAAGAAAGGTTTGAGTTTCAGGTTTATTATTTATCACCTGTACATTTTAGGAGCAATTATTCAGCTTTACCAAATATTATTTTCCTGCTCTAGAAATTGGGAATGATTGGATATGTAATTCATGAAAGAATCAAATCAGATGATTTACATACTGCCATTTTGTAGGAGAAGAGTTTGGTAATTCTGTGAACAGCTCCTTGAAGGCGCCCTGCTTCTCAAAGCTAAACCCTTATCTATTCAATTCTTTTCCCCTCTCAATGACTTTGCTCTTGTAATTGTCACCTTTCCTATGTCATGAGTCCTCTCCACTGCAAAAACTTAAAAGTAGTTTTCACATTCTGTCTGTACTTATCCTTCTCATACTCTTTTGAATATTCACTTCTCTTGAGGCCCACCCACTTTATTCTGGTCACCCTTTTACAGCTCACCAGTGACTTTTATATTTCTAAACCTAATGTACCCTTAGGTTATCATTTGCTAGAAGTCTTGACAACAGCCCTGGCAGTGGGCACTCATTAGTGGAACACATTCTTCTCACCTTCTAGGATGTCATGCTCTCCCATCTTCCTATTACAATACTCACTACTCATTATATGTCTAAAAGTTTGGATCTTTGTCTTCTGTTCCACCTGTGAGTTCAGCCTGGGAGTATCTTCTTTTCTCCAATTATATCTTTTCCTTAGGGAATCGTGACCAGTTCTATGGCTTCAAATATCTTCATAGGTACTAACTTCTACTGCTACAACTCTAGAACCTGTAGCCCCCTAAAATTCAAAAGTGCATCATCAACTGTCTATATGACATCTTTACTTTGAATGTTTACTATGCATCTTAAAATTAACAATTCCAAAACATAGTTCTTAGTTTCCATCCACTCCAGTTTTTCCTCTCCAGGTCTTCTCCATCCCAGTGTGTCCACCCACATATGCCCAGTAATTCAGGAAAGGACATTCCAAGTTACCCTTGATTCCTATTTTTCACTCAGAAACTATCTTATAATCCATAATTTAGACCTTTTCTTTCAAATATCTGTTCTATCAATACCAATGACTGATGCTGTCTTCCAGATCCCACGATTTCACACCTAAATTATTGCAATTGATTCCTCACATAGCATCCACAATCATCCTTAAAAATGAAAATCAGACTCCATCTAATTCTTGCTTAAAACCTCTCAGCAGCTACCCCAACACACAGAACAGAATTCAACTCCTTATGCCTCTGCCTCCTCTGAGAATTCTTCACTTACCTCCTTGTCCACTGTGTTCTGGCCACTTAGCTTTCATTCTGTTCAATAAGCACATTCATTTCTACCACAGAACCACTCTACTTCTCAGGCTGGAATGTTTCTCTCCACTGTGTATGTGTGCTGTGTTATTCAAGTCATAGTTTAAATATCTGTTCACCCCAAAAAGCCTTTTCTGAGGAACTTAAGTCACTAGCCCCTAGTAAGACATCTGTTTTAATCTCTACGTACTACTTATCACAGTGGTATTTACTTATTTATATTTTATCCACCAGAATATAAACTCAGTGAGCAAATACCTTGATGTCTACTTTACTGCTGCATATTCAGAATGTGCTCAAGACAGATTAGGTATACAATAAATATTTCTTGACTGGACAACTAGATATTTACATCTTATTGTATAATTAATAAAGAGTTCAAAATTTATTGTTGCTGTATCACTTTACCTTATACACTTTTGGCTTACCTGAAGTCACCTAAATATGTTACTTTTTACAAATTAGTTTTGCCATAAAATCTTTCTTCAGATATTGTGATGTCTTTTCTTTTTCCTCTTTCTTTTTTCCCTCTTTTTTATTTCCTTTCCTTCCTCCTCTTTCTCTCCTTAGTTTTCATTTCCCCATATTTTTTGTTTGCTAGTCCAAGTTAAAAATATTTACAATGCATCTATCTTAGTCTCTTTTATTTTAATATTTGTTAGGGAATAAATAATTTCTGTGATTTTTTTTGTTAACATAAAATGTGGCTTATTCAGCACTAAAGCCTTCAGGAAAATCTGTGCCTTTTTGGAGAAAAGATAATGACACAACTTGAGGATATAACTGTACTTTTCTCCAGTTCTTAATCTAATTTGATATAAGAGCAATAACTTACATCTGTGGCAGGAACATGAGGGTGGCATAAGTAATGCTTCAGCATACTGGAGAGACCTTTGGCAACATTTCTTCTTGAAACATAAATGTAATCATCCTGTCAAATTCATGAGTAGCTGGGGACAAAGTTCAAATCTTGTTTCAAATGTTTCTTTGTAAACATTGTTCTGTCCTTCCATAAATATGGTCAAAGTTTTTATTTACTTAAGACACTGAGACCTTGGAGATGTGTAAAGAAAAAAATATTCCTTTAACCTTGGTCAACTCTTTAATTCTGCTGATAAAGTTCATGATTCTTAGACTTTCACATTTTATTTCTCAAACTTAGCCAGGAATTGGGAAAGAGTAGAGAGTAGATAATTTCCAACATATTCTAATCCCCTTATATTGAAGGTAAAGTAATGAAGTCTCAAGCAGGTAAAATGATTTGTTCATAGTTACATAGTACATCAGACTTTATAACCTCATCTCACAGCACTTAGAAATTTTTCTGCCTTATTTCACTACCTTCCATTACCATACACAAGGTAAACTGTTATCACAATTTCCATTTCCAAATAAAAAAACATGTACTGGACAGTTTGGTGCTTTGGATGCCGAGATCAAAAAAATTAATGAGAAATAACCATGAAATAAAGATTTCTTTCATTTTAAATTGTCTTTTGAGATATTTAATTAATTTTTCTCAAATCCAGTTTAAAGTTTAATCTATCCAGAAGTGGGAAATGCATTTTTTTTAAAAGACACAGCATTTTTTCTGAAATAATTTTAAATTTACAGAAAAGCTGTAGGAATAATATCAAGAATTCAAAATTGTTCATTATCTCTATTTACTGATTTTAAACATTTTGATTACAGTTGTAGTTCTCTCCCTAATAGGTTTGTGTTTGGGTGTGTGTGTGTGTGTGTGAACATATGTGGATGAATACATGCACACATTTATAATAATTTATCCAACCCACTTGAAGTTAGGCTGTATGCATCTTGCCTCATTGCTATTTAGTGCTTAGTGCATATTTCTTAAGATCAGGGTTATTTTACTATTGTAACAAAATGCACCTATCAGATTCAAGAATGTTAACTCTGATTCAGTTTTATTGTCTAATCTACAGTCACTAGTCCCATTTTGCCAGTTATCTCAATAATGTACTTTCAGTATTTTTTCCCTTTATGATAAGATCTAGTCAGGGATACTACACTGAATATACTTGTCTTTTCTCTCTTCTACTCTAGAACAGCTCTTCAGCATTTCTTTGTCTTCATGGCTTTTCCATTTTTGAAGAACACAAGTCAGCTGTTCTACAGAATCTAATTCACTTGAATGCTTTGTCTTCATTACATTTAGGTTAAACATCCACTGTCAGTATGACATGTTGTTCTTGGAACTTCACATTTGGAGACATGCAGTGTTAACTTGAATTTCTTTGGTGATGCTCATTCTGATGGCTTAGTCAAGATGTTAACTAACTTTTCTAGAGCATAGTTATAGGTTTTTCTCTTAAAACTTATACATAATCTATGGGAACATCCTTTGAGACCAAGCAATTACTCATTTCCTCATCAAACTTTCCTCCCTCCATTTAACCATCCATTGTTGATTCTTGCCTGAACAAATCTAAACTGTGATGATTACAAAATAGGGATTTTCTTTACCAACTCATATTATCAATTGAACACTCAGGTGGACATCTGGCCAGCATGAAAGTATCTATTAAAAACATTCTTAAATGATTTTTCTGTTACACTTTGTTGGGTCTTGATTTTATGTATTCTTATTTTTTAAGACATAAAACTTGTGGTCTGTCCATATGCACTATCACCAGCAGGACCACCCCCTTGGGCCAACAGCAGCAGACCACCTGTGACAGTGATGGCCAGATACAGATAATGATGGAGAGCAGAAAGACCATCATTCTGAACTCCAGAAGATAGCATGGTGGTGAGCAGCAGAGAGAGGGCCTCTCTAGATTGTTGTTGAGAACTGAAGCCCACAAGGAAAGCAAAGAGAATCACTGTTATCAAGGAGCAGTGGACTACTGTGGTTAGTGAGTGGTTAGGATCAGAATCTCCTGCCAGATCCCAAATTTGCTGTGGGGGAGGGGCAGTTTGAACCTGCAGCAGAACCACACAGAGTTCAAACCCGCAGGAGGTCAGGGAGCTCAACTCTGGCCTCATAGCCAGAAACTAGTCTGAATCTCAGTAGACTATGGCTGGCTCACTGAGATTAATTGACTTGCATCTACATGCTGCTGCCCACATTGTCTACCAGTGACATCATAGACACACCTTGGAGGGGACATTTTCTGTTTTCTTCTTCTTACTTTTCTTCTCCTTTTTCCTTCTTCTCCTCCTCTACCTCCTTCATTTCTCTCCTTTCTTGCTCCTGATTTTCTATTATTTTGTTTCTTCTTGATTATTCTTGTTTCTATAATAACATGAATTAGTCTCTAATTTTCTTGTTGCCATTAGTTTGTTCCATTCTTGCTTTAGTTTCTTCTTTCTCTTTTCCACCTGCCATCACCAGTTTCCCAAAGTTTACATAATCTTCCTGTGTTCTCTAGTCCTATTTTTAACCTTACGTCTCCTATTTCTCTATCTTCCTCCCAACTCCCTCTAGGTCTTCTTCCCAGAAGGTAAATTAGCTATGCTGAAGGGCTTGCTTACTGCAAACATATTTCTGGTTTGTCCTTGATTTTAACCACAAATTTAGTTCATGTGATTAAAAGTGACAGATTAATAGTTACTACAATTTGTCATTTTCTAAGCTGTGTTTGATGCTATTGTTGATATTGACTGTTTTACTTTGGCCAAGGTGATGTGATTCTTTTAGTCAGTTGTTCTTCCTGGTATTCCAAAACCAAGATTGCCTAAGGGTCATTATAGACTCAAAACCCCAAAACCAGCTATATCTAGAAGACATCACTGAGGAGTAGTTATTCCCTGAGGGGTCTAAATATTAGAAATAAAGATACTTGCAATAAGCACTATACAAGTATTTACCCAGGAAACAAACCAAAAACATCAACAAAAAATAAAAATGAGAAGACACCTAAACAAGATGTAAACCCACACTTCCAGATGACCAAAGGCAAATTCAGGTGGCAAAGAGGTGGAACAATCCAAAAGCCAATCATATGGACTCACTGAACTGGTAGCAAGGGGGGTAACAAAACAGATGAAAGAAGTTCTAAAAGAAATAATAACAGAAATAATTTCCCAGATAAGCACAGACATGGTGACAAAGTTTAGTGACTCTAAAACAGATGCAGATTAGATATATAGAGGAGCTCAGGAACATGATGGAAATCATGAATTTCCAGCATAGGAGAGAAATGGAAATGATGAACACCCAGCATAGGAAAAAAATGTAAACTATGCAATCCCAGCATTGGAAATAAATAGAATCCATAAAACAGTTTCCAGCAGATATCCAGGAGACTGAAAAACTTCATTGAAAGTATACATAGCAGAATGATCCAATGTGAGGACAGCATATCAGACATAGAAGACAGAACTGTGGTTACTGATCATGAAAAGAGTTTTTCCAAGGTTAATTATATAAAGGTACAAATTTCCAAAGAGTGTCATCATATTGTACACATTAAATGTTCCAATAAAATTAATAAAAAAGAGACATTTCTTAAAAATAGCAAGGAAGCATGAGAAATCAATCCAGCAGATGTTAGATGGTGTAAGGAAAAACATAAGATTGATTAGAGTCAATGAAAAAGTAGAAGACAGCACAAATGACATAAAAAACATGTCCATAGAAGTAATGGCAGAAAACTTCACAAACAAAGGAAAAGAATTTGACATACAGATAAGTGAAGCATACAGGACTCCAACCAGCCATGACAAAAAAAAAAAAAAAAAAAAATCGAAACCTATACATATAATAGTCAAGATTCCAGAAATCCAATGGAAGAACAAAATATTAAAAGCAATTAGAAAAAAGAAACAAATCTCATATAAAGGAAAACCTATCAGAATCACAGCAGATGTCTCAACACAATCCCTCAAGTTTAGAAGAGCCTGGAGCGAAGTATTTCAACCCCTAAAAGAAAACAACCTCTAACCCAGATTGATGTATCCTGCAAAATTATCTTTCAAAATGAATGGAGAAGTGAGATACTTTCATGACAAAGATAACCTGAGTAACTTCTGAATACCAAACCAGCACTCCAGAAAATTCTAAACAATATTCTAGGAAAAGACAATGAGGATCACCACCCCACAAAGCCCAGCAGAATGAGTCTATCAGGCAAGACAAGAAATTAAATAGAATGGGGGAAAATATCAAAAATAAAAGTGTCAACAACAGAAAGATATTAAATGATAAGTCAATACATATCACTTATAAACATCAATATTAGTGATCTCAATTCACCAATCAAAAGAAATTGACTGGCAGGATGGGTCAAGAAGCAAGATCCAACAATATGCTGCATACAAGAAACAGATTTAATCCACAAAGAAATTCATAGACCTAGAGTAAAAGGATGGAAAACAATATTCCATGAGACAGGAACCTGGAAAAATGCAGGGGTAGCTATTCTACTTGCAGACAAAGTAGATTTCAAAGCAAAATTAATTAAGAGAGACAAAGAAGGTAACTACAGCCTTATAAAGGGAACAGTCCAAAAGGAAGAAATGACAATTATAAATATATATGCACCAAATAGTAAAGCACCCAAGTATATAAAACAAATATTAATGGACATGAAAAATCAAATAAGCACTAGTACAATAGTAGTAGGGGACCTTAATACACTACTGTCACAAATAGACCAGAATATCAACAAATTAATAAACTTGAACCAAATATTCGAACAAATGGACTTAATAGATGTCTACAGGATGTTGCACTCCCCAAAGCCAGAATACACACTCTTCTGAGCTGCACAAGAGTTGTTCTCCAAAATAGACCACATGCTAGCTCATAGAATATGCTTAAGTAAATGCAAAGGAACTGAAGTTACTCATATATTGTCAGACAATAGCTCCATGAAATTGAAGATCAATAGCTAAAGAAACCACATGACCTTCATAAACACATGGAAAATGAATAATACCCTCCTGAACAACCAATGGATCACAGAGGAAATTAAAGAAGAAA